TATATTATTCTGACCGCACATTATTATTATATCTTTGCATTAATTTGTGCGGTCATATATTCACTTATATTATTTATTATCTTTTATTACCACTTAAATTAAGTGGATTGCAGATTTAATTTCAATTATCTGCAAGGTCATATGCTAGCCTTTTAATTATCTCTTTAATATCTGGGCTAGCCACCCATCTTTAAATAAAATAAGATATAAAATAAAATATAAGGTGACTAGCCGATGACCTGATTGCCATATAAAAATGAAAGGCAATCATCATTTGATAATAATAAAGAAGTAAAGAATGAATCATCCATTAATTTTATCAGGAGCAAACATGAGGATGATAAAATTAATGAGGGACAACAATATGAATTTTATTGTAATTTCTCTTCTTAATTAATAAAATTCATATTGCCTACGCTGTGTCCACAAGCCAAGGATTTTTCTGGCAGGAATCTTCTCCAACTTAGGGGCTTGTGGACTGGTCTTTGTCTGGGGATTCACCACCTGCCCTTTTTGGAAGCAAGGACAGGCGGTTAGAATCCAGACCAGGCGTTAACAGTCCTTAGGTTCATAGGCCCCAACCGCCAGGCCAAGAGCAGGGGGCCCCAGATCCAAGAAGGGGCCCAGATGTGACCAGGCTGTTACCAAAGGCTTGAGTTCTTCATCCAAGTTCTCAGGGTCTTGTGTTCCAACCTTACAGACGCTTCCACACGCCAAGAGCAGGGGGCCCCAGATCCAAGAAGGGGCCCAGATGTGACCAGGCTGTTACCAAAGGCTTGAGTTCTTCATCCTATTTTATTTTCTTCTGTAACTCAAGCCTTTCCCTCTAAGCCGTGTACCGCCCAAAAATAATTCAATTTCTTTCTATTTATTTTTGGGCCACTCCCTCACAGCTATTTTAATAGTTCTCTTTTTCTTTTATAAATTAAAATAGCTGTGGACAACCGGCAAAAATCTTTACAATTAATGATTTTTGCTAGGACACACATGGATTTTTCATATTCAAGTAATGCATATTAGAAAAATCCATGACTCACCAGTTATTTTAATGCTTTATAATTACCAAATGATCGTATCTTTAATTTTTATTGATACGAGGTCATGGGTTACTCCTTAATTTATATTATTTCATTCATAACGCCCCACTTTTATTTAAATAAGAGAGATAGGCTATAAAAAAGTGGGGCTACATCTATTTATATTTCTTATTGTCTTTAGGGCAAAATGCTTAATAAAAAGAGATAGATAATAATATAGCAGTTTGCCTTCATGTATTTTATATTTATATTTAGCCCATTATTTTGCTTTTCTTATCATTAAAATTGGTGGTCATATATTGGGCCAAAAATAATATAAGAAATTCATGGATTATTTTTGGCGATAGGTGACTCCAAGAGCAACGGCCTGACAATAAGACCCTGAGCACCCTCACTGACTTGGGGCCCCCTGCTCTTGGCCTGTGGAAGCGTCTGTAAGATACGAATGCTCCTTCCCATGAATTTTATAGTTGTGGAATTTCTTTATCTATAAAATTCATGGTCCCGTTGTCCCTAATGAAAATAAATGACAATAAATTTCTTATTCATTTATTTTCGTATCCTTTTATTCATTTCTATAATCATGATGACATCTTTCATTTAAATTAGATGTCAGGCCATAGGCTAGTTGTTATAATATCTTATTTGCAACCCATTTTCTATTTATAAGATATATGAATTAAGAAAATGGGGTTGCTATCTCTTAATTTAAAGTGAATAATATGCCCTTCTTTTTTATAAATGATATCTTTTAATAATAAAAAGAAGGGCATGAATATAAGAATTATAGACTAACCCATGACCGCGGTTGAATATTAAAATTAAATCAACCGCTCATTTGTAAATTATAAAACATGTTAATAAAAGAGGAAATTTCTTAATGGAATTACTTATGATAGAAATTTCCTCGTGAATAAATATAATGCCATTTTCTATAAAATACTTGGGAAAATTGCATAATTATAATTCATTTCTTATCCTTACAATCACATCCTAGATCTAGAGGTGAATGATAAGGGACAGATGTGATTGTAAGGGCTATAAAATTTATGATCACTTATTAAAAATCACTTATTAATCATAAATTTTATAGCATATATTTCTTTTATCTTTAGGTAAAATATTCTATTTTGCTCATATTAATAATTTCTTTATATCTTACAAGTGGAATTTCATTATAAGAAGAGATTTTATTAGCTTGGCGGCTATCCGCTAGTTCATAGAATTAATCATAGAGGGTCAACCATTATTTTCCTATCCTTTTATTATCGTATGTGGGCTAACCGGTTGACCCAATATTTAATATTAATATGCGATTTTCCATTATATAATATAAAGAAGATAAATAATATAGAAAATCGCATAATGAAAGTAAATAATGCAGCATAAGATATTAATATTGCTGCAGATATAAGTAATAGATTAATTTATGGCTTGCTATTCCCTATGAAGTTTACTTTTTTGCTCGTAAGTTGTATTCCTGCAAGCCATTTTATTATATCTATTATGCGGTTTTTATATTTAAAAGATTACCATAATAAAAAACCGCATATAAATATTAAAGTTGGAGGATGAACGCCAAAAATACAATAAATTAATTTTTGGCTTTGTCCCTCACCATTCATATTAATTTTGCACTTCATTTCATTTCGTTTATAACTAATATTCATATCTGTGCCTTATCTATATACGATGATGGTCTTACAATCATATTTCCATTGTCCTCTTATTATCTTCTTATTTGACTTTATGGTCTCTTATCTTCTAGAAAATATATTAACTATAGCAACCGTAACGACGATGACAGCCTATTGACATTTTTTTATTATCATCAGTTATTTATAATTTATCTCTTCATGAATAATCACTTCTTGTCCTTGGAATCTCTTATTCATGGTTTACTTTAATCTTCTCCACCATATTATTATTTAAGGTGGACAATATTATTTCTATCTTTCTTTTTCATATCTTTCTATACGCTGTCCTCCCTTATCATTATATTATTCTCTTATTTGTAGTTCTCTTTATATTTATTGGTATTCTGCTATTCAAGATTTCATTATTATGATCTATTATTTGGGGTAGCAGGTTAAAATCGATCATTATTATTCTATCCTTTCGGTTGACCTTCCTTTCCACTTTATGGCTGGGGTTTTTACATCCTTTTCTTTCATGATTAAAATCATATGGTTATTACTATTTTATTTGATAAGTTATTTTACTTTAATCTATTATAGCTTTATCGATTGGGCTTTCAACATTAAATAAAGTAAGAATGAAATTAAATTATAAAGCCCAATCATTAATATAAGAGATGATGAATAATATAATGTTAATCTATGATGTAGCCGATAACCTTGATGGTGAAATAAAATAAAAACCATCAATCCACTTTAACTAAGTGGCAATAAATGAAGAGGAAACCAAAATTAAAGATTACTTACATTTAGTTTTGGTGATGAGGACAGAGAATGCAAAATCTCATATTATTACTTCCCTTTTTTATTATTAAGAGATTTTGCATTAAAGATAAAAGAATATATGAATTCATGGATTTTACTAATAATCTCTTGATAAAATCCATGAATGATAAGGATAAAATATATTATTCTTCATTTTCATTCGTACACAATGGACACAAGAAAGACAAAAATGTGGAGGGAATATGAAAATGAAGAATCCATTACTTTTATTATTATTAAAGAAGTGTTAATATATGAAAATTCACCATTAAAATATATCTGAAGTGAATTTTCATTTCTTATTATTATTTCTTATTCATTAATTCATAGATTATTGGCCCATTTTCATAATTGGTGTTCTTATTTTAATAAAATGGGCCAAAGATTATATCTCTTATTAATTATTATCTATTATGCAGAATTAATTTATATAAATGAGATCTTTTAATTGAAATTAATTCTGCTTTATATTATTACTTATTGCCTTGGAATTTTATTGAAGATGGAAAATAGATTATAGAAAATTCCAAGGCCCTATGAACCTATATGAACTAACCGATGACTTCATCCACAAAATAAAATAAAAGTGGATGATCCTCTTATTTTAAGAGGTGATTATATAAGAGAGAATATATGAATTACTTATTGGCAGTTAATGGATTTTACAGATAACCGTCTATTACAAAGAATTATTGACCATTAACTGCCAAGGAACAAATCATCCAAGAAGCATTCTATCTTTCATGGTATTTTCTAGAACTATAAAGATAGAATGCCCACCATTTATTTATTTTTATTTGGTGGTTCTTGGATGATGGGGATGAATTTTATTAATTCTTTCTTTCATACGCTGGGACGGACCAACCTAATAAAATTCATCCCTTGTTTTTACTTAATAATTACTTGTCATCTAATAACTCATGCTGTATCATGTGGTAGGCTTCCCTTTCGGAGCCGCCAAGACCATTTCCAACCCTGTCGAACCCTGGTCCAGGATCGCCAGGGGTTCTCCCTCTTCACGAGCGCTTTCCATCCCGGAGCCCCCGGATGCGCCATCCGGCGATGTCGAGGCCATGGCGGCCAACAACCCGGTTCCTAGTGAACCGAGGTGGTCTTCAGTCACGAGTTGGGCTCATAACCCGCAAGTTAAAAAACCGAAGGCTCCTTTTCACCTTCACTCGAGTCGTCAAAAGGGCTACATCGAACCCTGACTGGTACACTTCTCGATTTGTGAGCCGGCAGAAACAATTGATTTATCAATGAATCATCACATGGGAGGGGGGGGTGGGGGTGTTAGACATTGATCTACCAATCTTTAGTCCCGAGCAAGCTCTCAAGCCAGTCCCTTTGCTTCGCAAAGCAAACTCAAGGTAGTCCTTACCAGGCTACCTTTCGTGATAACAGTTTGCTTCCAAGTGGATTTCACCATGTATGCTTTTCACAGTCATTCGGCACAGTGAGATTGTGCTCTGTGAGCTTGCGTTTTGCCGTCACATCTGTCCTCGAAGGCCTGCTTTGTGGCTAAGGCAACAATGATTCCCACTGGAGCTTGGGTTTCGTCCTGACGGTACAGAATTCTACCGCAGATCAGAAGCTTTGCTGAGATTGCTCGCGCGATTGCTCCGACAAGTTTGACAAGGCAATGAGGAAGCCACGGAGCAACACCGCATGCAAGGCCCCAAATACACAAGTGAAATTCCAACGCTTTGCAAACTTTGCAATCGGAGATTTTGTAGGTCTTAACCTCCTAACCCCGTTGCTTTGGATCCTACTGATTTCATTTCGCTCTTAGGTTGGAGGCCATCGTTCTAATTTGCAATCTGCAGGCGCAGACTCCTGCGGTATAGTGGCTTTGAACGCCAAAACACCCTCATGCGACAGCAGCTCAGCACACCAAGGCGCCCCCCCTGGCTTGTCAGCATGTTTCAAGCACTTCGCAGCAAAGACCCAAATCATTGACTCAAGTGACTCAAAATTCAATTTGTCGACGTTGCCTTTCAGACTTTCCGTCTTCACAAGTGAATCCACCCGCTCCGATGAGTTTCATAGTGTTATCCGCCGACCCCTGCCTAGCTCACGCCTAGGCGGGGCGGCGCCTGGGACACCGCAGTGTGAAACGGTGGCTCAACTTGCTTTTTTGGCCAGTTGCTCAGCAAGACCTGCCTGGCGCGGGACCATCCACCCTCTCCGGCAGGCCTTTCCCTAGATATTCCTAGACTGGAGACCTGTTGTATTCGGACTTGCCCAGTCGTCTTTGACGAGAACACAACCGTTGCACAGGTGGGATAGGTGTGGGGCGCGCGCGCCCGCAGACGCCCTGCGCAACACGGAACTGGTTGCCGCAGACAGGACGATGGTTGATTCGGCCAGTGTGCACAGAACTTTGAGTTTCTTGGGAGCAGAACGGGCAAACATATTGGTAAACATGTGTTCCTGGAACTTCGGCTGCGCTGGGCAGAGTTGGTGGCGTTGCAGCTGTGACCTGGGTGTTGGAGTGTGGGTATTCTCGTAGCTTTGCGGGCGGGGCGGCAGGGGCCCGTGCACTGACGCGAGACCTTTGTCGGCGTGCCTCCGCAAGGCGTTGTTTGCCACGCACATCTGCAGGCTCTGCTGTGGTCGTTTCTGTTCCGTCTTCTTTTGCGTTTGTCTTCGGGGTCTCCGTCTTGCATTTCTTATTGCGTCCCCTCCGTTGCTTGTCCTTGTCTCGCCGCAATCTCTGCCATGCCCATGCCTCCGCCACCAGCCTCCGGCGACGCTCGACCTCGACTTGTTCACGTGTGTTCCGGAGCCGTTCTGCGGCGGTGGCCGTAACACTGCGTTGCCACTTTCCCTCTGCGCGCGTATCACAGACTTCGTTGCCATGTGGCGCAGTGCGGCGCAGTGCACGGATGCCCGCCACCAGGGCCGTCTGCCGCTCCCGGGCAAGCCGCTGTCTGAGCTGGAAAAGTCTGTTGTTTGCGCGCTGCGCGGCGGCACGGCCGCGCGCAGGACACAAGCGTTGCATCGCTGCGTCCCATCCTGCAGTGCCTCGACCACGCGCTGAAGTCCTTGCACGCCTTCCGCTCCGCGCATGTGGCGCAGCGCCAGTCACCCTTCACTTTGACTGCGCTGCCCCGGCAAACCCGTCGGTCCGTGCGTCCCGCTTTCCACGCGGCAACCCCAAACGCAGTCTCCCACTTTCCCACCCTGCATTTGCCATGTTTGGTCGTTTCTCCCAACGGAACACTTGGTGTGGGTCACATGGTACGGAAGAATGTGATAAAAGACGGTTCCCCTTCAAACAAGTCAAGGAAATTCTGCAGTATGCACACCAACAACCTTGGGCTGTATCTTGTGATCATCGGGGAGGGCTTGATCATTCTAGCAGAACATCGTGTATTTCAATGGCACTGTTCATTGGACGAGGCGATGGGACATCTTTATCAAGAGTTTCGTTCATGGACCCGGTTGGGGCCATCGCTATTAGGTTGGACGCCGTTGCTATTAGCTTGGAGGCCGTTGGTTGGGGGAATTGTTCCTTTCGTCTGCCCAATAAGGGGGTCGGCGGCACCAGGGTGTTAGCCCTACTTATACGGTACATGTTTAGCATCAAGCCCGCGTCGCATCTACATGTGCACAAAATATGCGATGTGTGCTATGTATATCACTTGGTCCTCTGAAAGTTCTTATAGCTAGCAGATTGGTGTTCAGATATCTAGCCCGCTCAGTTGTGACGAAACTGTTTTTGGTACTTCAAACAAAGCTGTCTAAGCTGATCAGCTGCCATGGCAAGTCCAAAGCTGCCTCGGCAGGACTCCTTGGGAAACCACTCTTCCTGCCAAGGAAAAAGTGTGACAAAACAAAAAACAAATCACCTTAGATCAACATCCTGCGACAAAAGTCCTGCAAATCAGCGAGATCCTGGGCATCCTCCGCTCTCATTGCGGAAAGCTTTAGGTCCTGAAAGGATCAATCTCTGCACAAAAAAAGAAAACGATAGATATATACATATATAACTATAATGTTGTTTGAAGACGTTAAAAGAGCACTTCCAAGCCATGAAGACAAAAAGGCTCAAAGGGCAAAGGAGTTGTATACAAAATAATACAGTTCTGTTGTTACGCAGCTCCATGAAGAGCAAACAAAACACAGGCACGCGGCTAGTCAATATGAGATGCATACCCAGTTCTGAACTGATCAAAAATGATCTCCTAGCTCCTGAGAAGTCTTAGCGCTCCATCCCCCTGTCTTTTGGGGGGTGCACAGTTCAAATCAAATCAAGGAAATTTGCGGAAGGGTTTTCAAGAACGATTGCGGCACATGTAAACAGTGGACTTCCCAAGATTTGTCAGCATTCCGACAAGAGGCCGATTGGCACAACAAGCAGGTAGCGCTGAGACGCTTCACACTGTTGCAATGCCGGGACTGCCCCTGGTAGACCAATGAGCGGCTAAGGCATGGGAGCTATGAATTAGCGCGTGGAAAAGTGGGATGCGTCAGTATACGAAAGGCTTTTCCCCCACAAGCAAGCTCAAGGGTCTTCAGCCATAGTCAAGACTTCGGAGCAGATCGGAGCAGGCGTGCCTCCAGAGCAACTTCCGGCGATGTGTCCGGAGCAAGTTCCAGAACAGTTCCGGAGCAGGTTCCAGAGCACGTTCCGAAGCAAGTTCCAGAGCAGTCCCGGAGCAAGTCCTGCAAAGAAAGTTCCGGAGCCGGCTCCGGAGTAGGTTCCAATTCCAAAGCAGTCCCCGAACCAGTTTTCTGCGCAAGTTCCGGACCAAGTTTCACAGCAATTTTGCAGATATACTAACATGCTGTTGCGCTTGCATTGTCACGCCGTTGCGCTGAAATGTAATCATGTCACGCTGGCATGGCACGGTGTCTTGCTGACGCGTTGTCACTCCATCAGGCTGCCGCGCTCACATTGGTGCGCGCTGTCACATCGACATTGAACCATTTTGAGACTCTGTCCACGCTGTCATGGATGCTCACATGTTGTCCTGCTGGCACACTGACACGGGTCACGCTAACATGCTGACACTTGTCACATTGGAACGCTGGCGTCGGGTCACGCTGTCGCGCTGACATCGTGACAGGCTTGAGAGCCGGTTCTGGAGAAGCGTCCATGTTTTTTGCTTGTTGCAGTGCTATCATGATTGCGCATATGTGGGCACACATATCGCCATGTGGTGATGCTGGCATAGAGCTGCGTGTTCAAAGCAGCATGGTTTAGCAAAAACACAACGCCTATTAGTGAAGTTGTCATGTTGCCGTTGCCGAATAGGCGAAATGCCCAGCTGTCGGGTATTCTTGCTTGGGCTTATTTGTTATAACCGTCGTTCCACCATTCATTCCACTTACTGTACATAGTTGTTTGTTAACGATGATAGACGTGCGGAAAACATTGCATTAAATACATTGGCGAATTGAATAAATACATATCTTTCTTACAAATTTGCATGAACACGTTCCACAGAAGCACATCACATAGCACAATCTTGCAAGAAAGGGTCAATGCTGCGCTACATGGTGATACAGGGACACACACTTATGGATATGCGTACGGACTTGACAGCGGCGCCACACGCCAGCCTAAGAAACCCAAATCCTGAAAAAATACACCACCGTAGACCCCAAACAGTTTGTGTTTTTCAAAATCGAAGCTAGAGCTTGCGACGTCCAGAGCTGGGAGACACATGTAAAGGATTGCAAGGCAGAGACGGACACAGCAGTACAGAGCGGGCGGACACATCTCAAGAAAGAATTGAGAAGCCCTAACAGTAAACCTTTTGGGGAATTATTCTCCAAGTGCGAACATGATGCTGGTCATGCTGCTCAATCAGCGGGGAGCTGACCACGTGAGGACAAGAAATACAAGCATGAGGAGCGAAGGATGTGACATGAAATTGCTTTTTTGTGTCTGACGTATAACAGAGAGATCGCTGCCACGCCGCCAAAATCCAACGCTTGCCCGAAAAGGAAAACAAAGCTGAGAGAGTTACACAGTGTGGCAGCAATGCAACCCCGGAGCCAGTCACGCACCCCTTTGAGCAGTGACAGACCTGGGAGAAAAGGGCGGACATTAGCAGTGACAGACCTGGGAGACAAATGAATAGAAACGTTGCATCGCCAGCGGAAAAAGGCGGACACCAGCAGTGACAGACCTGGGAGACAAACGAATAGAAATGCTACATGGCCAGCGGAAAAGGGCGGACACCAGCAGCGACAGACCTGGGAGACAAATGAATAGAAATGCTACATGGTCAGTGGAAATGGGCGGACACCAGCAGTGACACAAAGGGCGGACACATCTTAAGAAAGAATTGGGAGACAAATGCAAGGAAGTGGGAGACAAGCCGGCCGGAAACCCGACTACGAGCACCCAGCCTGGGAGATAATGAAAAGAAGTGGGAGACAAATGAAAAGAAGTGGGAGACAAGCCAGCCGGGAACCCGACCAGACCATCCAGCATCAAGGCGACCATTCTTTAAAGCATTGAGAACCCCTAACAGTAAACTGTTTGGGGAAAAACTGATAGAATTCACGAACCCGAACGCAGTCACTTTGTATAGAAGCGTAGCACTCGAAGCGTTCTTGTTTTCGGCGATGACTCGCAGAGTCATCAACTAAAGCAGCGCCAGCACCTCCCCAGCCGCAGCACCTGACGCACTTTTGCTTCACACTTTTGCTGGACAGTCTTTGCTACACACTCTTTCTTGACAATCTTTGCTAGACACTCTTTGCGGGACACTCTCGCTTGCCACTGACACTCTTCCTTGACACTTTTTGCTAGACACTCTTGCTTGACACTCTTCCTAGACACTCTTTCTTGACACTCTTGGCTAGACACTCTTGCTTGCCACTCTTGCTGGGAACTCTTTGCTAGACACTCTTGCTGGACACTCTTGCCAGGACACTCTG